TGAGATGGAGGTGGGACTGAGAGAAGGGCCTCTCTTGAAGACCTTGAGGCCTGGGCAGGTTCATACAATGAGACATGGTCAGCCAAATAGCCTGGACCTGAGCTGTCTAGGGCTTTAAAAGTCATAATTAGCACTTTGAATTGTGCCCAGAAACAGACTGGCAACCAGTGGAGCTATTGCAATGGGGGTTGTCCACTCATGGTAGCCAGCCCCAGTGAACAACTTGTCTGTAGATCTTTCAACCTGCTGAAGTTTCCAAACACTCTTCAAAGGCAGCCCATGTAGAGCATGTTGCAGTACTCCAGGTGGGATGTAACTAAGGCATGTACCTTACTTTTAATGTAAGTGACTTTCTTAAAAAAGAAAAAGTCAACATTACCATCTTACACATCTCATATCTACTCAGAAGTATTGTTGTTGTTGTTCATTTGTTCAGTCATCTCTGACTCTTCGTGACCTCATGGATCAGCCCACGCCAGAGCTCCCTGTCGGCCGTCACCACCCCCAGCTCCTTCAAGGTCAGTCCAGTCACTTCAAGGATGCCATCCATCCATCTTGCCCTTGGTCAGCCCCTCTTCCTTTTGCCTTCCACTTTCCCCAGCATAATTGTCTTCTCTAGGCTTTGCTGTCTCCTCATGATGTGGCCAAAGTACTTCAACTTTGTCTCTATTATCCTTCCCTCCAGTGAGCAATCGGGCTTTATTTCCTAGGAAACTGGGTATGAAATTGTTTGCAGCCTGAAAGACAAAATTACTCTGAAAAGTAACCTTTGCACCTGCCAGTCTCCCCCTCAAACACCCAAACTCATGCTTTAAGCTCTGCCTGCTTTCAAAAGCAAACAGAATGTCTGTCCTAATGTTTGCAGTACAGTTCAGTACTTGTGTTTATTCCCTAGCAGTAGAAGAGCAGGCTGCTGATACGGATTTTGCAGGTTTGACAGAAAAAGAAAGTAATATTGTTTTAAAAAAATAAAAGAGGCACTTGGAAATAACAAAAACATTAACAAACACTGCATAATCTCTCTCCCCCCCCCCCCCCCCCCCCCCCCGGAATTATATTGTACCAGGGATCTATACAGTCAAAAATATTTTGGGGGTGCTTTGAATGCAATATTCCTGCTTCTTGGCAGGGGGTTGGTCTGGATGGCCAATGACATCTCTTCCAACTCTATGATTCTATGATTTGACTTTCTCAGTCTCCATTATATATATATTTTTCTTTTTATCCAGGGAAGAGGAAACAACTGTGTTTCTAGAAGTAATAGGTGTTCTAGGAACAGTTCCAAAAATGCTGCAAAACGTGAATGAAATCATTGTTATGTTCTAAATGTCACTCTACTGTGTGAGCATTACAATCCTGGCAGTTTTTAATTGGGTCTTCTAGCACTGTTTCAACAACTGTCAATGAAGTCTCCAGGAAGAGATCTTTTCCTTTGTCATGTCATCGTATTCAGCTCATGTCAAATGTCCAAAGTATTTTATATACATTATTTCCACAATCCTTGCAATACCTCTGTGTAGTGGCCTTGTTCTGCTGTTTGCCTTATGAACCATCTAGGACAGGGGTCCACGAACTTTTTAAACAGAGGGCCAGGTCACAGTCTTTCAAACTGTTGGCGGGCCAGATTATAATTAAAAAAAAAATACAAATGAATTCCTATGCACACTGCACATATCTTATTTATAGTGCAAAAACATTTAAAAACAATACAATAATTAAAATTAAGAACAATTTTTACAAATATAAACTATTAGTATTTCAGTGGGAAGTGTGGGCCTGCTTTTGGCTGATGAGATAGGATTGTTGTTGTTGTTGTTGTTGTTGTGTACTTTCAAGTAGTTTCATACTTAGGTTGACCCTGAGCGAGGGCCGGGTAAATGGAGAGGTGCGACCCACCACATGCATCCTAGACCCCTGTCCATCCTGGCTGATAAAAGAAGCCAGAGGGGGTTTGGCAGAGTGGGTGAAGGTGGTGGTTAATGCCTCCTTGCAGGAGGGCAAGATTCCAGCGAGCTTAAAGCAAGCTATTATCAAACCGCTGTTGAAAAAACCATCACTGGACCCCACTCAATTAGACAACTATCGGCCAGTTTCCAATCTCCCCTATTTGGGCAAAGTCATGGAACGTGTGGTGGCAGCGCAACTCCAGGGATTTCTGGTAGACACTGATTATCTTGATCCGGCACAGTCTGGCTTTAGACCGGGACATGGAACGGAAACAGCCTTGGTCGCCTTGGTAGATGATCTTCGCAGGGAGCTAGACAGGGGGAGTGTGTCCCTGTTAGTTCTGCTGGACCTCTCAGCGGCCTTCGATACCGTCGATCACGGTATCCTTCTGGGACGCCTCACAGATATGGGACTTGGGGGTACTGCTTTGCAGTGGCTCCGGTCCTTTCTGGAGGGTCGGTCCCAGAAGGTGTTATTGGGTGACACCTGTTCGGCCCCACAGCCATTGTCATGTGGAGTCCCTCAGGGATCAATTCTGTCCCCGATGTTGTTTAACATCTACATGAAGCCGTTGGGAGAGATCATTCGGAGTTTCGGGCTGCGATGTTATCTCTATGCAGATGATGTCCAGATCTGTCACTCCTTTCCTCCTGTCACCAAGGAGGCTGTCCAGACCTTGAACCGGTGTCTAGCTGCTGTGTCGGACTGGATGAGAGCTAACAAATTGAAATTGAATCCAGACAAGACAGAGGTCCTACTGGTCAGTCGTAAGGCCGAACAGGGTATAGGGTTACAGCCTGTGCTGGATGGGGTTACACTCCCCCTGAAGACGCAGGTTCGCAGCTTGGGAGTGATCCTGGACTCATCGCTGAGCCTGGAACCCCAGGTCTCGGCGGTGGCCAGGAGAGCTTTTGCACAATTAAAACTTGTGCACCAGTTGCGCCCGTACCTTGGGAAGTCTGATCTGGCCACGGTGGTCCACGCTCTTGTTACATCCCGAATAGACTACTGCAACGCTCTCTATGTGGGGTTGCCCTTGAAGACTGTTCGGAAACTTCAACTAGTCCAGCGAGCGGCAGCCAGATTGCTCACCGGGGCGACATACAGGGAGCATACCACCCCCCTGCTATGCCAGCTCCACTGGCTGCCGGTTCAGTTCCGAGCACAATTCAAGGTGCTGGTCTTGACCTATAAAACCCTGTACGGTTCCGGTCCACTGTATCTGTCCGAACGCATCTCCCGCTACGTCCCGCCTCGGAGCTTGAGATCATCTGGGGAGGTCCTGCTCTCGACCCCACCACTCTCACAAGTGAGGCTGGTGGGGACGAGGAGCAGGGCTTTCTCAGTGGTGGCCCCTCACCTGTGGAACTCACTCCCCGGGGAAATCAGAGCATCACCATCCCTCCTCTCCTTCAGGAGGAGGGTGAAAACTTGGTTATGGGACCAGGCCTTTGGGCAACCAGGCAATTAAAGACTAGCAGGATGGACGAAATGGTACTAAAAACGGATCTATGAGACAGCAAACACTGACAATGCAAGGGAGGAATCTAGGTTTGTAGTGATTTTATTGATTTTTATTGATTTTTATTGGAATAATGCATGATGATGTTAGTAATTGTGAATTTTATTGTAAGTTGTGATGATTGTTGTGATGTCGGCATCGAATCGTGCCTTTACTGTGTAAGCCGCCCTGGGTCCCCTTCGGGGTGAGAAGGGCGGGGTAAAAGAACCCCAAATAAATAAATAAATAATAATAAATAAATGACCTTGGAGGGCCACATCCGGCCCCCGGGCCTTTGCTTGAGGACGCCTGCTCTAAGACCTTAAGATCATCTGGGGAGGCCCTGCTCTTAGTCCGCTTTCATCACAAGTGCGTCTGGCGGGGATGAGAGACAGGGCCTTCTCAGCAGTGGCCCCTCGGCTATGGAATCCCCTCCCTAGAGATATCAGATCAACCCCCTCCCTTTTAACATTTCCAAAAAAAGTCAAGACATGGCTTTTTGATCAAGCGTTTGCAAATGCAGTGTAACTGACATAGAAATATGGAACGACTAGACGATGGAATTGGACAATGTTTTTAACAAGGAGGCACTATTGACTTATGCTTTTATTGATGATGTTATCGTTTTTATTATATGTTAATGTTTTTAATTGTACTTATGTTATTGTGGGCATTGAATTTTGCCGTGTAAACCGCCTTGAGTCACCTGTGGGCTGAGAAAGGCGGTATACAAATACAGTAAATAAATACATAAATAAATAAATATTGCGGAGGCAAGAAGGTGAATTATTTATTTATCTTGTGTCAAAAGCATTGCATAGAGAAGTATAAAATTGATAAAATAGATGGATCACAAGCAAGTAAATAATTTTTGACCAAAAACAGGCAAGAGCAACCACGTTGTCTATAGCTTTAAACAGTTCTTCCTCTGTGCATGAGACAAGGCATTGTGGGCAAGCATACAGATGCAGAGTTGTTTGTTCCGCTCCACAGTCACACAAGGTGGAGGATTTCTCTAGGTAGTGCCATTTTGCCAGGTTGTCTTTTGATCTGCCCGCTCCACTTCTGAGTCTGTTCAGGGACTTCCAAGTTGCCCATTCTGGAGGAAGAACCTCGTGGGGGGCCATCCATTTGGGATTTCCTGGTTTAGCTGCCCAGAGGGATGCTCTTGCTGTTGCTGGGGGAACATTAAGAGGAGTGGTGGTTCTCATGAAGCTTTTCCTTGATTTGAGTCTACTGGGAGGAGGCTGATAGCCATACAGTGGGTGACTTTGAGTGTTCAACCTATTATAGGTTTGATAAGAATGAGGTAGTATATGAACCCCATATCCGCAAGGGACATATTCCCAGACTTTGTGTGGATGAAAACTCTTTTTTGTTCTCTAACAAATATGATCCTCTGAGTATAGTTTGGGAACTATACTCTTGTAATCCAGGTAGACATGAATGGTGGAGATCCCTGAAACATATATAGTGGTATGGTGTGGTCTTTCTTTTTAAATAAGTGAAGGCAGCCCTAAACTGGTGGTCTGCCTCTTCCTCTGTTTTTCAGTGCAGTTTTCTACCGATGAGCATCATGCAACTTTCATAATCCGCATCCGCCATGCACCGACCCCCAGACTCTACAACCCAGGATCTTCCAGTGGAGGAAACAGTGGAGGTGAGCATAACATGGACACAGTTGGTGGGGAAAGGGAGGGTCCGGTTTTTGAAGTCCTTTGGTTGTGTCTGCTGTGGAAGATCCGAAGCAAGCATTCACCTGATCATGTGCAGAGGGCTCCCTTACTCCTAACAAGGATCAGATTTAAAAAAAATTAAATAGATTTTTATTCAGATTTTCAATTACTGTTTTACATAAAATGGGAAGAAAGATAACACTAAAGTTGCAAAATGTTTAGGGAGAAAGGGGAAGGGAGGGGAGGAAAGGAAAGAGGAGAAAAAGAAGGAAAAGGAAAAATAAAAAAGAAAAGGAAGGAAAAAAATAAGAGAAATATATATAGAAAAAAATCCTTGTTTGATTTCTACTCTGTTACTTTGTGGTATTGTTCTTTCTATCTATCTTCTCCTATAAAGACACTTTGTCTATTCTCTATTCCCTTTTCCATTTTAGCAAGGATCTGTTTTTAAAAATCACTACATCCTAAGGACTAGAGAAGAACTCTGATGAAAAATGTCTACAGCATCATTTCCGTTGTGATATGAGTCACTGTGAATTATAGCAAGCACTGTGCTTTGTGGAGCACCTTTTCAGAGCCTCTCTTGCTCTCTAGTGGTCATAATGAGCACCACATTACAGAAAGATACCTTGGTTGCATGCCGGCCTTACTTAGGGTTGCCAGACTGAAAACTGAAGAGGGAGTGTCCAAACTTTTAAAGCCAAGGGCCAGTTCATGGTCCTTGAAAACAAACACAATCCTATGCATACTGCATATGTCTTATTTTCAATGCAAAAAAATATGTAAGAACAATACAATATATAAAAACAAAGAACAGTTGTAACCAATGTAAAAGTACCAGTCTTTCAATGGGGAATGTGGGCCTGCTTTTGGCTAATGAGAGAGTCATTATTGTACTGTTGAAGGCTTTCATGGCCAGAATCACTGGGTTGTTGTAGATTTTTTTCGGGCTATATAGCCATGTTCTAGAGACATTCTCTCCTGACGTTTCACCTGCATCTATGGCAAGCATCCTCAGAGGTAGTGAGGTCTGTTGGAACTAAGAAAATGAGTTTATATATCTGTTGAATGACCAGGGTGGGGCAAAGAACTCTTGTCTGCTGGAGATAGGTGTGACTGTTTCAACTGTCCACCTTGATTAGCATTTGATGGCCTGGCAGTGCCTGGGGCAATATTTTGTTGAGAGGTGATTAGATGTCCTTGTTTGTTTCCTCTCTGTTGTTTAGCTGTTGTAATTTTAGAGTTTTTTAAATACTGGTAGTCAGATTTTGTCCATTTTCATGGTTTCCTCCTTTCTGTTGAAATTGTCCACATGCTTGTGGATTTCAATGGCTTCTCTCTGTAGACTGACATGGTGGTTGTGAGAGTGGTCCAGCATTTCTGTGTTCTCAAATAATATGCTGTGTCCATGTTGGTTCATCAGGTGCTCTGCTATGGCTGACTTCTCTGGGTGAAATAGTCTGCGGCGCCTTTCATGTTCCTTGATTCGTGTTTGGGCATTGCTGCGTTTGGTGGTCCCTATATAGACTTGTCCACAGCTGCATGGTATATGGTAGACTCCTGCAGAAGTGAGAGGATCCCTCTTGTCCTTTGCTGAACGTAGCATTTGTTGGATTTTCTTGGTGGGTCTGTAGATAGATTGTTTTTTGTGTTTCCTCATCAGCTTCCCTATGCAGTCAGTGGTTCCCTTGATGTATGGCAAGAACACCTTTCCTCTGGGTGGATCTTTACTCTCGTGGCTTGTTCTCGATCTTGCAGTTCTTCTGATGTCTGAGGTGGAGTCTTATTGGCCTGTAGAGCCCAGTTGAGATGGTTCAGTTCATCTTGGAAGAGTTGGAGTTCGCAGATTCTTTTTGCACGGTCTGCCAGAGTCATTATTGTTGTTGGATTATAGTTGTTGTGTACCTTCAAGTCATTTCAGACAATAGCATATTCTGCCTCAGTCTGGTGCAGTCTCCTTCCCTAGAGGTTTTTCAGCCAAGGTGGCATGGCCATCTATCAGGAGGGCTTTAATTGTGGTCAAGACAGGGAGGGAGGGAGAAAAGAAGGGAGGAAGTCTGATCCAATCCACCACAGTGGAAAAACTACACACAAAGTGATTATGCTTTTAAATTGTCAAGATTTTAACTGCTGCCTTTCAGTGGCAAGATTCATGAACGAAGTCTGTAAAGTGAATGTGTAGCAAATGTGAATTTCCCTTTTCTATGGTTTGTACTGTATTTTATACCTTTTTGCTAAATATATGCCAATAAAGGCTTATTGGAGAAAAAAGGGAACGAAGTCAAGGAAGGGAGTCCTGGAGAGAGAGGGCCAGTGGAAATTTGGACAGGGGGTGCAATTGGTCCCCGGGCCAGACTTTGGACATGACGTTGAAGAAGAGAATTTCAGCAGGCGTTGTTTGTCATACAACCATGTAATAAAAATACCTGCTGTAATTACCTCTTCTCCATTGGCATTAAAGATACAAGAGCCATCTCCAGTTCCCACTCTCAAACTGTAACTGCACTTCTATTTCAGGGGATCTTGTAGCACCTTGGAGACTAATTCAGAGGATGAAGTTAGTAGCATAAGCTTTTGTTACATTGTAGAATTAATGCAGTTTGACATCATTTTAACTGTCATGGCTCCATGCTGTGAATCCTGGCAGTTGCAGCACTCTTTGGCAGAGAAGGCTAAAGACCTTTTGTAATGACTACTCCCAGGATTCCATTGCATTGATCCATGGCAGTTCCATTTTGATAAGCTGGAAGGTGTCCAGAGAAGGGCAACTAAAATGAGCAGGGCAGGTTTAGCCTGGGGAAGAGAAGATTGAGAGGAGACATGGGATATCACAAGGAAGAGGGAGACGGCTTGTTTTCTGCTGCCCTGGAGACTAGGATTTGAAACAATATGTTCAAATTACAGAAAAAGAGATTCCACCTGAACATTAGGAAGAACTTCCTGACCATATGAGCTGTTCAACAATGGGACTCAGAGAGAAGTGGAAGCTCCTTCCTTTGAGGTTTTAAACAGAGGCTGGTTGGCCATCTGGCAGGAGTGCTTTGCTTCTTTTCCATTGCAGGGTTTGGACTGGATGGCCATTGTGGTCTCTTGGAGTCCTCGTGGACAACAAGTTAAACATGAGCCAACAATGTGATGTGGCGGCAAAAAAAGCCAATGAGATTTTGGCCTGCATCAATAGGAGCATAGTGTCTAGATCTAGGGAAGTAATGCTACCCCTCTATTCTGCTTTGGTTAGACCACACCTGGAATATTGTGTCCAATTCTGGGCACCACAATTCAAGAGAGATATTGACAAGCTGGAATGTGTCCAGAGGAGAGCGACGAAAATGATAAAAGGTCTGGAGAACAAGCCCTATGAGGAGCGGCTTAAGGAGCTGGGCATGTTTAGCCTGAAGAAGAGAAGGCTGAGAGGAGATATGATAGCCATGTATAAATATGTGAGATGAAGCCACAAGGAGGGAGCAAGCTTGTTTTCTGCTTCCCTGGAGACTAGGACACGGAACAATGGCTTCAAACTACAAGAAAGGAGATTTCATCTGAACATGAGGAAGAACTTCCTGACCGTGAGAGCCGTTCAGCAGTGGAACTCTCTGCCCTGGAGTGTGGTGGAGGCTCCTTCTTTGGAAGCTTTTAAACAGAGGCTGGATGGCCATCTGTCAGGGGTGCTTTGAATGCAATATTCCTGCTTCTTGGCAGGGGGTTGGACTGGATGGCCCATGAGGTCTCTTCCAACTCTTTGATTCTATGATTCTAACTCTGTGATTCTATTATTCTAAGTGATGTCAAACTGCATTAATTCTGCAGTGTAGATTGACCCCTAGTCTACTTCTTTGGATGCTTGAAGTGAAATGCCTAAGAACAGATCTTTATAGATAGACTGTATGAGTGAATAGCCATAGAAATGCAAAACATGTGGGCATCGTGATGAGGTGACAAATTCAATTTTAGGGATGATTGCTAGGGGACAAAGACAGGAGGGAAGCTGATGCCTAAGGCCAAGTTGAGTAGAAAACAATGTGAATGGTAGAAGTAATTATTGGGATCTAGTGTGATAGAATCATAGAATAATAGAGTTGGAAGAAACCACATGGGCCATCTAGTCCAATCCTCTGCCATGCAGAAAAAACACAATCAAAGTATCCCTGACAGATGGCCATCCAGCCCCTATTTAAAAGTTTCCAAGGAGGGAGCTTCCACCACACTTAGAGGCAGAGAGTTCCACTGTTGAACAGCTCACATGGTTAGGAAGTTCTTCCTAATGTTCAGGTGGAATCTCCTTTCCTGTAATTTGAACCAAAAAAGGGAATGTGATAAACTGTCCAGAGGTCACTGTTTGGACTACTCTCGCTCTTTGGCAATGGTCTTGCTGTTGTCCTCTTAGCACCAAGATGTTTGTTTGTCATGTCAGGAGTGACTTGAGAAACTGAAAGCCGCTTCTGGTGCGAGAGAATTGGCTGTCTGCAAGGACATTGCCCAGGGGATGCCTGGATGTTTTGATGTGTTACCATCCTTGTGGGAGGCTTCTTTCATGTCTCCGCATGAGGAGCTGAAGCTGATAGAGGGAGCTCATCTGCACTCTCTCCGGATTTGAACCTGCAACATGTCAATCTTCAGTCCTGTCAGCATGGGGGTTTAACCTACTGCGCCATCGGGGGCTCCAGCACCAAGATGAGACTTGGAAACATACAGGAGGACAGAATCCCATTCTTCTCAATCAAATCAATCATGCCCTGGTTGTTCTTGTTACTATGCAAAATTTCTATGCTGTGATGAATGCCCATTTTTGTATCTACTTTTATCCTGGCCTTCTCCTTTCAAGCCTTGCAATTGTCTCCTACTGAAAGCAGAACTTTGCTAACTTCTTCTGTCTTTTTCTCACCAGTAGAATATAATATCAGTGCGCTGGTCACAATAGCAACCAAGACCTTCTTGCGCTATGACAAGTTGCGGGCGCTGATCAACAGTATCCGCAAATTTTACCCCACGGTGACCATCATCATCGCCGATGACAGCCAGGACACTGAACATGTGCAGGGCCCCCACATTGAACAATACTTCATGCCATTTGGCAAGGTGAGCAGACTCGCTGTGTGAACTAGGCTTTCCTAAGTGGTTTACTCAATTTCATGAGTAAAGCCCCAGGGAGGGCTGAGGAGGTTATGTTCCTCCAAATGATATTGGACTACATTCCCTATTGTGTTGGTTGGAGTTGATAGTAGTTAGAATCCAACATCAATCAGAGGGTGAAACATTCCCTGTCTTTGCATTAGGGCCTGGGCAAAACATTCTCCTGGTAAACACTTGAAATGAGCAAGGGCCTAAGGAACACCACTTTAAGATGCATAACTCCCCTGTGCAGTTATGTTGGGTATTATCCTATTGTTATGATTTAAAATCAATTATGGCAGAACGAGTTAAAATTGTATTATCACAGATTATGTAAAGGTAAAGGTTTCCCCTTGACATTACGTCTAGTTGTGTCCGAATCTGGGCGGTGGTGCTCATCTCTATTTCTAAGCCGAAAAGCCAGCATTGTCCATAGATGCCTCCAAGGTCATGTGGCCAGCATGACTGCATGGAGCGCCATTACTTTCCCACAGAAGCTGCACCTATTTATCTACTCACATTTGCATGTTTTCAAACTGGTAGGTTGGCAGAAGCTGGGTCTAACAGCGGGAGCTCACCCTCCTCCCCAGATTCAAAACAACCTTTTGGTCAGCAAGTTCAGCAGCTCGGCAGTTTAACCTGCTGTGCCACCAGGGAGCTCTCCATTGCCATTAGAACACCTTAATTATGTTCCTCCATTGGGATGCACTATTTGAATGCGTTATTATGTATGATTCTACTCCAGTGGTTCTCAACCTGGGGTCCCCAGATGTTTTTGGCCTACAACTCCCAGAAATCCCAGCCAGTTTACCAGCTGTTAGGATTTTTGGGAACACATCTGGGGACCCCAGGTTGAGAACCACTGTTCTACTCTATATGAATGTTTGAATTTTGAGAACCAAAGATAAGTTGAAACAAAACCCTGGTTGGAGAAATGTCATAGTTGGTCAGAAACAGTGTGAGGAATAAGAGCTGAAGTCTCAATAGTCAAATCTAGACCTCTGAAAGAACTATTTGATACCCGGGTTGCCAATAGAGATAGAGTATGGAGTTGCTAATCACAGAGGACTGCAGTTCCCAAAATCCTTTGACCCGCATGCTTGCTGAGGGATTATAGGAATTACAATCCAAATCACCGTTGTCCATGCTCTACTAGGGGCCTATGTGTTGGTGGAAGAGATGCAGGAACCCAATAAAGAAGTAAAGTGTTCAGTGATTGAACTGATAAAATGTGATAAAATGATGATATTCAGTGCATCATAGTTAAATGAGATAGTGGCAGTGCTTGGGATTGGGGCTGGGATGGTTTGGTTTTGTTTTAGGACAGTGGGTCTCAACCTGTGGGTCCCCAGGTGTTTTGGCCTACAACTCCAAATATCTCAGCCAGTCTACCAGCTGTTAGGATTTCTGGGAGTTGAAGGCCAAAACATCTGGGGATCCACAGGTGGAGCACCACTGTTTTAGGAGCTACTAGGCAGTGCCTCCACCTGGCATTTGCAGAACCTCTTCTATTGGGCTTTCTTTCTAGGGCTGGTTTGCTGGCAGGAACCTTGCTATATCCCAGGTGACCACCAAATATGTTCTGTGGGCAGATGACGATTTCATTTTCACACCTCGCACTAAACTGGAGAAGCTGGTAGATGTTCTTGAGAAAACATCCCTGGATCTGGTGAGTGTCCTCCCTTCCTGACTATAGAACAGTGGCTCTCAACCTGTGGGTCCACAAATGTTTTGGCCTTCTGTTTCCCAGTAATCCTAACAGTTGGTAAACTGGCTGGGATTTCTGGGAGTTGTCGGCCAAAACACCTGGGGACCCACAGGTTGAGAACAACTGCTCTAGAACATTTCCTCTGTCCAAAGAAACAAGCAGACATCTTTCCATCTGAGCTTCTTGGAGTCTAAGGACACAATCCAGAGTGGCACCGAAACAAAAGATAGGACAAGAGATAAAAACCTGTCATGGTTGAGATAGCTCTAGTGGGCTGGGCTATATGCTGCACTCTGGGAAATATCTGTTCCTGATCTGAAGTGTGCAAAGAGAGTCAGATAGGAAGAAACTTAAATTAAGCTGAAGTTGGTCCCTAGGACCCTGAGTACCATTTCTACTTTCATACTTACTGTATTTAATGACTATTATACAGTGGTATATTTCATTCATCACCGTATAATAGTCATGGCCCAGTAAAGCCACTTAGCTTGCCCATTTGCCCATGCCCTTCCCAGCTTCAGTTGGCTAAATAAAGTGCAGGCCAAGTGATGCCCCATAGCTGGATTTTTTTTCACCACATAATAGTTGCACACATTTTTTTTCATCCACCAAAAAAGATGTTATGTGATTAAATACAGTAGTTCCAAAATGTAAACCCTGTTTCAACTATGAAACTGTGATTCAGACAGTTCCAGGTTCTGTAACAAGATCTAAGTACACATGTTAGGGACAATGGTGGAAATGGTCATTTCTAACCCCCAAAGAAGTAGTAGGACACATTCCTGGCTACTGCTGAAAGACATAATGCTCCATTATGGGCTTTGTATATGGCTGAAACTAAGGATCAAAAATACTCCAAAGGCACCAGATCCCATCTGATCTTGGAAGATACAGGGTCAATGCTGATTCATACTTGGATGGGAGACCACCAATGAATACCAGGTGCTGTGGGCTATATTTCAGAGAGAAGAACTGGGAAAATCATTTCATGGAAGTGCCACAAGCCAGCAGGCAACTTGAAGACACACACACACACAGAAAGTCTGATGTTTACATGGCAATTCTCAAGTAAATCTCATATCTGTGCCAATGAAGATTACTTATGGGCTCCTAGATCATATTTGTCCCCAAAAGTGTTTGGGGATCCAGCATTGTTCAATATTAAATTCCCAATTCAGGCTTTTGTCAGCTTCAGAGTGATGAAACTGAATACTAGTTTACCATATCTGTTGGCGTGAACATCCTAAGCTTGCTCTGTGTTCTATTTCTCTCCATCCCAAATATTTTGCCCTTTGTCTGGCAGGTGGGTGGAGCAGTACGGGAGATCACTGGCTACACCACCACATACCGACAACAGATCAGTGTGCAGCCCGGTGATGATGACGGTGATTGCCTACGAGTCCGCCAAGGCTACCACCATATCATCGAAGGCTTCCCTGACTGTGTGGTTACCGATGGTGTGGTCAACTTCTTCCTGGCACGTACAGAGAAGATGCTTCAGGTTGGGTTCGATCCTCGCCTCAGCCGGGTTGCCCACCTTGGTGAGTGATGACAACAGAACAGATGACTACAAATCCACATGTGAAATGAGTCTGACAAGTCTCAATGTATCTCTTGTGATTGCACTTGTCCTTTCCTCATAAAATAAGCAAAGGGAATGGAATGGGAAGTACAGTCCAAATGGTGATGGTTTGTGATTCTGCAGCCTCAGGGAAGGCTTCAAGATACTGCCAAGCAAAGTGATGGTCCCTAGACTAGTTCCAGTCCTTGACCTGTTGGCTGCCGGTCCTTGGCATGTTTCCAGGAAGGAACAGAAACAGTTAGACCCAATTGGTACAAACAGTGCTTGTCTCTGGCACATTATTTGGGGGGGGGGGGGTGATAATTGTGGGTCCCCCAGATAGCTTGAGAAGCACTGCTTTAAGGTAGTTGGGAAAATTACTTTTTGAACTGTAACTCCCAGAATCTCCCAGCACCATGAGTAACTATGTTTGTTAAGGAATTTGGGGAGTTGTAATCAAAATATGAGTTTTCCAAGCTCTGATAATGGTCTTAGCAACTTAACATGGTTTAAATTGATTTTATATATATTAATTAGTTATTATGATTTATATGTGTACTGTATTTTGGCATGGAATTTTTGCCATGAGTATGTTGTAAACCATCTTGAGTCCCCTCAAGGGTGAGAAAAGTGGCATATAAATACAGTAAATAAACAAAGAAACAAATAAATAACACCTCCTTGGCATACAGATCCTCATATGCTGACCAATATACCACCCTCACCAATGTACTTTAAAGTCCTGAAGCCACACATATGCTTCATTGTGAGCAGGCAGGATCAGAGAAGGTTTGGCTCCCAACCCACTTCCATAGTCAGATGCACAAGAATGGTAGTCTGAACACATCTACAATCATTGTATTCCCAGCTTGGGGAGGGGAATTACCAGATGCTTTTCTGATCCTATATGCTGTTGCTGAAGTAGGAAATGCCTGAATGAGGCAATTTCAGGGCTTAAAAGGTAAGAGGGATTTAGGTGCTGTGTGGAAGGAGATTCCAAACCCTATAGTGACTGAAAAATCAGATCTGCTCACATAAGGGACACACACATGCGTGGATTTCTCAACCTGAATTCTAGCCATTGCCTGAAATGAGATGTGAAGTGTTTGCTTCTGATGTTTTGTTGTTGTTTTTGTTGACTTTGTGAGACATCATATAACAATTTGTCTCAGGACCCACAAGAGAAGAATAGGAACATCCAAAAACATTATGTAGCCAAGGGATGGGCAACAGCAAACATGTCAGAGGACTTTTTTTTCCTTCCTGAACCTGCCTTTTGGGCAGCAGCAGTATTTTTCATCATACCTGAAGTAACATCATGCCATTTCTGGCTGCCTTTTTTTAGTGTTGAGGAGTTAGAAGGGGAGATTTGTGGCAGTTTGGTGGCGGAAAATTATCTCAAAAGCGTTCCTAAACATGTAAAAAATGGGAGGATGATTTGAGGAGCTTCTCATTGGTCCTGTGAGTCATGTTTATGTGTTTGAAGTGTGGCATGCCATGCATGGGCTGCACTTTGCCCACCACTAATCAGGCATGTAGCCGGGGGGTGGGCTTGAGGGACTTCAGCCCCCCCCCCCCAAATTCTCATGGTGGTTCGCGAGAAGGCCTTACTGGTGCATTATTTAAACTGTTATGTTTATTCATATCATGATCTGATCACCATACTCAATATATCCCATATGCATGGGGGTATTGGGGTAATGATACAAAAGGTTTGCTAGGGTAGACCCTTTTCACTCAGACTCAGCCCCCCCCCCGAAACTCAGCCCCCCTGAAACCCCCCTGAAAAAAAATTCAGCCCCCCCCCCCGCCCCCCCCCCCGCCCGAAACGAAATT